AATACAGCATCTTGGCATATTGAATATTTTAAGCTGAAGGAGTTGAGAAAATGGCAGAAGCAAAAAGGTCACTCTGACTCCTCTCCCTCATATGAGAGGTGCCCTTCTTATACCTGGAGAAAAGGAACAACCTATCTCCAAAGATATAAGGATGCCAAGAAGAATCTAAATAGGCCTTGCTACATTTTCCACAGTTTACTACAATTACCTCAGACTCCTTTACCTATCATGTCTATAGGACTGCCCACTCTTCCTTAAACCTAGTATAAAATACTCAGGTCTGTTTCTTCAGATCTTTCTTTCCTTATGAAGGCTTCCATGTCATGCAGAACTTGTATTAGATATATTTGTATTTTTTTGTTGTTAATCCTAGAACTATAAGACTAAATAAAGCATCATAGGAAGGAAAAATAAAAATGGCTACTAAGTGGAAATATGAAAATTAACCTGAAGGTATCCTGAATACTTATAATATTTTGTTACTTGGGTTACTAAGCTCTTTATATTGTGGCTACTATTTGGATGTGTCAAATACATTCTGATATCAATCAATAAAAGCATTCTTGGTCGGTTGGAGAAGACCTAGGAAGAGTGATGAGGTAAGTGATGAGGTTTTTGGGGGTGATAGTGGGGTTCGTGGGGTCCGGAGCCGACGGCCAAGAGAGAATTCTTGAAGACATCTTTGGTGCAAAAAGGTGATTTATTGAAGCATGGGGACAGGAGTGCCAGCATGAAGAGCTGCCCAGGGATCATGAGGAGAGACTAGTTATATACTAAGGGAGTTGGGGAAGGTAAAGTCCAGGGAAAATTTCTAGGGAGATTTTCACACGCTAAAGAAGACTCCCAGGATACTGGAGGCCTAGTTATTATCAAGCTAAGATTGCATTTCCCTCTACCAAAGCATTAGCATTAAGACAGTAAAAGGAGTTCCTAGAGGAATGTTTTACTCTGCCTTCCTCAAGTATTTGTCAATGGGCTGCAGGCTATAAGGAAATTTAGCTCTATTTGCCATTTCCTTCTGCTTTGTTTCCCACATCACTACGGAGGGGTGATGGAGACTTCCATCCAGCAGGATTAGGATCGCTTATCAGTTAACCATCTGTTTTCCCCCTTTCCTTTGTTCTTGGGCAGCCAGGAGTGCTATCATACTTACCCCATCTGGGGGTGGGAGTGGTGGTGTTTGCAGCCTGTCAGCTTGCCTTATGCTCCTGCATCAGTAAGGGGAAAGAAAATGAACTGAAAAAATAAAGTTAAATGTCATATATTTGGTATATTGGAGGAAAGATGAATGAAGCAAAACAAGACAAGATAGCAAAACCAGTTTTGAAAGCAAATGACGAGTACGAATCATTTATGATGAGAAGAAAAACTAGTAAAAACAAGATAGAAGGGGCCAGCCAAATGTCCAAGGCTGGATACTCCCCTTGCATAGTTTTGGCTTCTGTAATCTTGCTTGCCTCCTGCGTCCACCAACAGCCTGGATTGCACCACTGATAAGTGCCCCCTCCCTTTTTCTTTTGTCTCTCAGCTCTCTACCATCCCAGCCATAAAAGGAGGCAGATACCAAGGTTTCAGTCTCAGCCTTTGGAAGTGACTCTGCTGGGCTGGCACCCATGTGCAATAAACAGTCTTTTCTGATTCCCTGAGTGTGTGTGGCTTGTCCTTCCTGAGCGCTGAGTATTTGCTGTAACAATGACAGCAAATTTATGTAACAAACCTGCTGGTCATCTTTCCTCAAAGAAGGAATCATGTATTGAAGATGCCACACAAGCAGACTCCATTTGGATAATGAATTCTAATATTAACCTAGAAATATAAAGATTGGATGAAAAAGATTGTTAAATAACAAAAGTGACCAAGAGCTACCAAATACATTCATTTACAAAGTTTTTTTTTGACATATGTTGTTAGGAAAAATCTGTTATAAGATGGCCGACAGTACTGATAAGGAAATTCCGGGATTTCCTTCCCACTCTGCTTACCACAGGTGCCAAATTACTACTAATGAGGGATGTGGAAGTAACAGACTATACATTGTCCCCTCTGTTGATGCTCTGGGCTCAGATCTCTGGAGAATGATCTCCTCTGGGCCCACCGGTGTAAAATGAACCTCCTTCCTTCCAAGATCTCCAAGTGTCACTTAATTCTTCTGCCAGGTGATCCCGATCAGTGTCCGTAACATTATGACTTAGTGTAACTTTAAAAGCTAGTTTAAATGGTAAGTTCATGCAATTGTCTTCAGCCAAGTTAAGTTAGAGCACAGAGGAATGTTAATTCAAAATTAACCTCGGAAAATTCGATCTTTGACTTGTAAGGCAGAGTAAATACATTGGGGAAAGGCACATGCCATAAGTAAGTACACATCAAGAAAGAAAAAGGAAATGTAAAGAGGAAGATGGAGAACAGCAAGATAAAGAAATGCTGAAGACAACTACAAATTTAAAAACATTATTTTCTCGGGTCCTTATGATCACCTTCAAATATAAGGTAGCCCAGATTGAGACCTTTCTCATGGGAACTGATTTTTCTATCTTTAAAATACTATTCAAGTTCTAGTTTACGTCTCACATTTCAACAGAAAAGCTTTTTCACTTGTAAAATAGCACGTTACTGTTAGGAAGCCTGCAAAAGTCATGTGATGATCTGTTCTTAGTGTAAAATCAATTTTAGGATAAAGAAGGTTAAAAAAATTTGCCATTTAGTTTCACTGTCTAGAGATTTCCATCTTGAGTGTTACAAATACAACGAAAAATATACTTTTAGACTTTAAGATAAATATTTTTAATTTTCAGCAGCTTCTAAATGGTTAGTAATAAATATCAAGTTTATAACAGCGGAGCAGTGTATGGATTGTTAATAAGAATGAATCTACCATCAAGAGACATGGAATGTGATGGAAAGAACTGAACAACTCAGAAGGTGATGCATCTAAAAACCACATAATTCACTTTGGGAAGAAAGAACAGGGATTTTTAAAATACTTTGTGATTCATTCAACAGGAGCACTTTAAGTAGGAAAAAATATGCTTACCTTCAATCTCTGTTCTTTTAAAAGAATTTCATCGTTTCCATTCTCATTTTTAAATTGTTGATGTTAGAACATTATATAGAAATTTGAACAAAGGAAACAGAAGTATTTTAGAGCATGCCCTCCTTAAATACTACCAAATGTATTATCATTCTGCCTTGTGGCTGACCCCCACCTTCTATACTATTCAAATCAACATTCACAGAATTCAGAAAGAAGAAGGTGGAATAGAAGAAATGCCTTTATCTAGTCCTGTCTTGGGAACAATATTGTAATAGGTCAACTTATAAGATGTCAGAAAACTTATTGTATAAAAGTTTGGCTTAAACTCACCTTTCATGAATAATTGAGATAAAAGCTTATGTAGTTCCCTATTAGGGTTATCAGAAATTACTAACCGCCCTATCTCATTTCTGTAACTTCGCCTGCTTGCTAAACAGATAACTTAGGTTGCAAAATGCTCCCCACCCCTTCTACCAAGATCTAGCCTAGGCAAGACCAACATGTAAAAAGTCAGGAACTCACTGCCCCACGGTATCTTAGGTGTCTATGATTGGTCGTTTTAAACCCTCTTAGGACAAAGAACTTTAAATTGATAGGTTCCTGCCAAGACTAACATCTGTGTGTCACAATATGATTGGCTACCATGAAATGCTTGTAAATTGTAATTGGTTAACTAAATAATGACATACTCTGACTTGCTAAAATCCATATAACCTCACTGCTACCTTTGTTCTGGGCCATTCTCTGCACTTTTCTCCTTAAGATCAGGAGATCAGGTTTGGCCTGGCCGTGAATAAAATCTTGCTCGCTTCTATTAGGCATCTGGTGTGTGTGTGTGTGTGTGTGTGTGTGTGTGTGTTTTCCGACAGCACCCTGTTTCAAATATAAGTAACATTTTGTGTATTATTTACTTGCTGTATATTAAAAAAATTTTTTTTAACGTTTACTCATTTTTGAGAGATGGAGAGAGACATAGCTTTAGTGAGGGAGGGGCAGAGAGAGAGAGAGAGAATCCAAAACAGGCTCCAGGCTCTGAGATGTCAGCACAGAACTCCACATGAGTCTCGAACTCATGAACCATGAGATCATGACCTGAGCCATGTCGGATGCCCAACCGACTGAGCCACCCAGACACCCTTACTTGCTGTATATTTAAAATAATCATACAACAATCACTTGTTTTACTTATAAACATTTTTTTTCATTTAAATCTATTTGTATTAAATAAATTGAGGTATTGAAGGTGAAAGGGCGGGCCTACGCCAGCCGACTCCATCTTGTTCTGTGTCCTTCACCTTGACCACACCTCCTCCCCTTGAGTAACCCCCCCTCACCTGCCTAACAGGACTCGGACCCTTCCCCAGGACCCTTCCCCAGCCAATCGGCTGAGGCCACAGCCATTACCTCACCAACTGCCCCTAGGCCCCAATAAAACCTTTGTCCTTTTGAAACTCGCTCTCTCTCCCTGGTATCCCACCGCTGCGTCGGTGCAGGTAGGGGATTGAGCTCGAGCTAGCTCGAATAAAGGCTCTTTTGCTTTTACGTCGGACTCGGCTCCCTGGCGGTCTTTGGGGATCACGAATTCTGGGCATAACATTTGGGGGCTCGTCCGGGATCCCCAAGTCGCCCGAGGGACCCCCGACCTGGAGAGCCTGACTGGCCATGGTTAGTGTCTGTTTGTTCTGTCTTTTCCATGTGAGCTCATTTCTGGAGTTCTGGTAGTGCCCGACGTGGTCTAAGTGGACGCACTGGAGGACCATGGGCCGGGAGTTTTGGAAAACGTTCCGATCCTCCCTTCTGGAGGGACGTGGAATCCCCTCATCGGTTTTGGAGGCACGTGGAATCCCCTCAAAGGTCTAAGCTAGCTTTCAGTTTTGCTTCCATGGAGTTGGAAGACTTTCTAGGGCCCCTCTGTTTGTCTGTTTTTGTGTTTCTCTGTTTTGTTCTGTGGACTTACTGGACGGACGTTATGGGACAGACTCAGACTACTCCTCTAAGTATTATGACTAATCACTTTAAGGATGTGAGGGGAAGAGCTAACAACCTCAGTGTGGAAGTCCGAAAGGGTCGGTGGCAGTTTTTTTGTTCTAGCGAGTGGCCAACTTTCAATGTCGGATGGCCACCAGAGGGGACCTTCGACCTCCCTACCATCCACTGAGTCAGGAATGTCCTCTCTCGGCCTAAGATGGGCCATCTTGATCAGCTCCCTTACATTATCACTTGGCAGGACCTTGTAGAAGACCCACCCTCTTGGCTTAAGCCCTTCCTAGCCCCGCTCCCCCTGGAGCCAAAACCCATTCTTGCTTTGCAGGGGACAAAGAAGAAGAAAATTCTCACCCACCTTCACCCCTCTACCCTGTCCTACAAGGGGGGGCTGAAGAAGAATTAATTTTTCCTCCCCTGTATAACCCCTCTAGGATGCCGGAAGAACACCATCCTCCCCCTCCGGGGGAGGCAGACGCTGTTCCGAGAGCGGGAGGTGGAAACACTCCAGTGGGAAGCCCACCCTTTACCAGACAAAGGGCTCAGAGGGAGCAATCTGCCTCCACCGCCGACTCCACTATTCTGCCCCTGCAAGCCACCAGACCCCCAGACGCGGAGGGGAATCAGCCCCATCACTATTGGCCTTTCGCCACTAGTGACCTCTACAATTGGAAAGCTCAGAATCCTAAGTTTTCTGAGAAACCGGCAGGGCTTATTGATTTATTAGACTCTGTTCTGTTTACCCATCAGCCCACGTGGGACGATTGCCAGCAGCTTTTTCAGGTCCTGTTCATGACTGAAGAAAGAGAAAGAATCCTCAATAGGGCCCAAAAACTAGTTCCAGGCGCAGACGGGAATCCCACCACCAACCAGGCTCAGATAGATGCCTCCTTCCCCTTAACTCGGCCCCAGTGGGATTTCAACATGGCAGAAGGTAAGGAGAGGCTCCGGGTCTACCACCAGACTCTAATGGGGGGTCTCCGAATGGCTGCTAGAAAGCCAACCAATTTGGCCAAGGTAGGAAATGTACAACAGGGAAAAGATGAATCTCCGGCTGCCTTTTTAGAACGGATCATGGAGGCATTCCGTACCTATACCCCCATGGATCCAGAGGCTCCGGAAAGCAAGGCAGCTGTTATCATGGCCTTTGTAAACCAATCGGCCAAAGACATTAGGAGAAAATTACAGAAAATAGATAGACTAGGAGAAAAAAAGTCTGCAGGACTTACTGGTGGTAGCCAAAAAGGTATATAATAACCAGGAGCCTCCTGAGGACAAGCAGGTTCGCGCTATGGCGGCTGCCAGCAGTAAGCAGACTCGAGACCTGGCCAGAATACTACTAGCTACCACTGCTGACTTCCCCGAGGAACGAGACCGCTGTCTCCGGCAGCTGGCAGACGATGCAAGAAAAGGTAAAGGAACCACCAAGGGGGGGAAGCAGAGGCTGCAGAAGGATCGGTGTGCATACTGCAAGGAGATAGGGCATTGGGCCCAAGATTGTCCAAAAAGGGCCGGCGGGAAGGGAAGCAAGACTGATCGAGTAAAAGTCCTAGAGCTAGATGAACTGAGTGATTAGGGGAGTCGGGGTTCGGACCCTCTCCCCAAACCCAGGGTAACTCTTAAAATGGAGGGGACCCCTAATGACTTCCTTGTCGACACCGGAGCACAACATTCGGTCCTCTGCACCCCACAAGGAAAACTAGCCAACAAGAAGTCCTGGGTACAAGGGGCAACTGGTATGAGCCAGTATTCATGGACTACCCGAAGAACAGTAGATTTGGGAATGGGCCGGGTATCCCACTCCTTTATGGTAATACCAGAATGCCCCTACCCGCTGTTAGGATGGGACTTACTGACCAAGATTGGAGCTCAGATAACTTTCAGACAAGGGGGGGGGCCTCAGGTCACCGATGGCAAGGGCCACCCCATCTAGGTCCTGACCATGAAACTGGAGGATGAATACCTCCTCCACCAGGAGGCGCTCCCGAGAGAGAATAATATAGACAGATGGCTACAAGAATTCCCCTCGGTTTGGGCAGAGACGGGGGGGATGGGACTAGCCGCTCACAGGACCCCAGTCCTGGTAGAGCTCAAGCCAGGAGAGAGTCCGGTAAGGATCAAACAATACCCCATGTCTCAGGAGGTCCGGAAGGGGATCCAGCCACACATCCGGAGACTACGAAGCCTAGGGGTACTAGTTCCTTGCCAGTCTGCCTGGAACACCCCCTTACTGCCAGTCAAAAAGCCTCACACAAATGACTACCGACCGGTACAAGACCTCCGGGAAGTAAATAAGAGGGTCGCGGACATACACCCAACTGTTCCCAACCCATATACTCTCTTGAGCTCCTTGGCGCCCTCCAGGGTCTGGTATACTGTACTAGATTTAAAGGACGCCTTCTTCAGTCTGCCGTTGGCACCCCAGAGCCAACCCTTGTTCGCCTTCGAATGGCATGATCCGGAGGAGGGCTACAGTGGGCAACTCACCTGGACACGGCTACCTCAGGGATTCAAAAATTCACCCACCATCTTTGACGAGGCACTACACGAGGACCTGGGTGAGTACAGAAGGGAGCACCCTGGCCTCACCCTTCTACAGTATGTAGATGACATCCTGATTGCTGCGGACACGGCCAAAGACTGTGAGCGAGGGACCCAGGACCTGCTGGCTACCCTGGGGGCCTTAGGATACCGGGCATCCACGAAGAAGGCTCAGATATGCAGGGAGAGTGTAAGTTACCTGGGATATATCCTGGAGGGCGGACAGCGGCGGTTATCAGAAGCCAGAAAAGAAACTGTCCTAAAGATACCTACTCCCACCTCCCGAAGAGAAGTGAGGGAATTCCTAGGATCAGCCGGCTACTGCCGCCTCTGGGTTCCAGGTTTTGCTGAGATCGCCAGGCCCCTATATGAAGCTACCAAAGAGGGGAAAACATGTAAATGGGCTGAAAAAGAAGAAACTGCCTTTAATCAGTTAAAAAAGGCCTTCCTAAGTGCCCCAGCCCTGGGCCTACCAGACATTACAAAGCCCTTCCACCTCTTTGTAGACGAACATAAGGGAATAGCAAAAGGGGTTCTAACTCAAGCCTTAGGCCCCTGGAACCGTCCAGTGGCTTACCTGTCTAAGAAACTAGACCCAGTGGCTGCCGGCTGGCCGCCATGCCTAAGAATTATTGCAGCGACAGCACTCCTAGTCAAGGATGCAGACAAACTGACCCTAGGACAGGAGATCTGGATCACGACCCCACACGCCATTGAAGGGGTCCTGAAACAGCCTCCGGATAGATGGATGAGCAACACACGTATGACTCATTACCAGAGCCTCCTACTCAACCCTCCACGAGTGCGGTTCCACCCCAGTGCAGCCCTCAATCCTGCAACCCTGCTGCCCGACCCTGACCTAGGTGCTCCATTACATGACTGTGTGGGAATCCTGGAACAGGTACATGGATTCCGGACGGACCTGACCGACCGGCCCCTCCCCGATGCTGAGGCTACTTGGTTCACTGATGGCAGCAGCTTTGTGCAAGACGGACACAGGTATGCGGGTGCAGCGGTGGTCACCGAAACGGACACCGTATGGGCGGAGGCTCTACCCTCTGGAACGTCAGCCCAGCGAGCAGAGCTCATAGCCCTCACCAAGGCACTGATGCTGGGAGCTGGAAAACGGCTTAACATCTACACAGACAGCCGTTATGCATTTGCCACAGTTCATATTCATGGGGCAATTTATCAGGAGAGGGGGTTACTGACGGCAGAAGGACGGACTATAAAAAATAAGCAGGAGATACTTAACCTGCTTACAGCCTTATGGCTTCCTGCCAAGCTAGCCATTATCCACTGCCAAGGGCACCAAAAAGCTGATAACCCAGTAGCTAGAGGTAATCGAAAGGCTGACCAGGCAGCCAAGGCAGTAGCCCTTACTCCAGTCCCCACCATGACCATACAACTACCAGACCCGGGAGACCCAGTTTTACCAGACCAGCCCAAATACTCCCTGGAGGAGTTACAGCGGATCAAGAAACTCCCTATGGCCCAGGAGATAAAGGGATGGTGGTATACACATAACAAGGAGCTCGTGTTGCCAGACCGGCTCGGAGTCTCAATATTAGAGCACATGCATCGGTCTACTCACATGGGGGCCCAAAAATTAAAAGACTTAATCCGACATGCCGGAATTAAGATTCACCAACAGGACACCAAAATAGAGCAAGTTGTATCTGCCTGCAAGACCTGCCAACTCACCAACGCGAGGGCCACATCAAATAAAGAAGGAACCAGGCTCAGAGGCACCAGACCGGGAGCCCAATGGGAAGTCGACTTCACTGAAGTCAAACCAGGAAAGTATGGTTTTAAATATCTTTTAGTATTTACAGACACCTTCTCTGGCTGGGTGGAGGCATACCCAACCAGGCATGAAACGGCTCAGACGGTGGCTAAGAAGCTACTAGAAGACATCTTACCCAGGTATGGTTTTCCTGCCATGGTAGGATCAGACAATGGACCAGCTTTTATCTCGCAGGTAACACAGGCAGTAGCCAAGGCGGTGGGGGCAAACTGGAAATTACATTGTGCTTATAGGCCCCAGAGCTCAGGACAGGTAGAAAGAATGAATAGAACCCTAAAAGAGACCCTTACCAAATTAACCATGGAGACTGGCGGGGACTGGGTGACTCTCCTACCGTACGCCGTTCCCAAATCTACTGTTCTTCGGGTAGTCCATGAATACTGGCTCATACCAGTTGCCCCTTGTACCCAGGACATCTTGTTCTGTGTCCTTCACATTGACCACACCTCCTCCCCTTGAGTAACCCCCCCTCACCTGCCTAACAGGACTCCGACCCTTCCCCAGCCAATCGGCTGAAGCCACAGCCTTTACCTCACCAACTGCCCCTAGGCCCCAATAAAACCTTTGTCCTTTTGAAACTCGCTCTCTCTCCCCGGTATCCCACCGCTGCATTGGTGCAGGTAGGGGATTGAGCTCGAGCTAGCTCGAATAAAGGCTCTTTTGCTTTTACGTCGGACTCGGCTCCCTGGCGGTCTTTGGGGATCACGAATTCTGGGCATAACAAAGGTTGTATAATTAACTAGAAATTTGGGGGAAAAAAAGACTTTTCCATGTAGAAAGAAAGATGCTTCTCAGCAAGATACCCTAACGTAATTTTTTTTTATTATTTCTTAAAAGAGCATCTAAACTGAATGCCAAAGATTTAAATTAATTTGGTCAGCTCCCCTACATTCAAGAAGCTGTACTCTTGCTCTCTTACAGAAAAACTGACTGATATATTCAGTTTACATATAAGATCTAAATGAGTCTTAATTAATGGAATTAATGGGCACCTAGAGGCTGAAAAATCTGACCATCTCAATGAGTACTTTGATTACCATTACCATTTGATTGACAAGTAAAGGAATGGGTTCTTGTTTTGGTCAAAACAGTTGAACTGTTGAACCGATCACACCTATGTGAGTTACTACTAAATAATTAATTTCAACTGGAAATGCATTAGCACCACTTAGGGGAAATAATGCTGCACCTCCCTCAGCTTACCTAGGCAATCACTTGATCTTTCTGACAGGTAAGATATAATTTAGAATTTAAAAGATGAGCAGAGCATATATGATTAAACATATTTTCAAATAGAAAAAGAATCCTGAGTGTGTATTGAAATATAAATACCAGCAATTCAAGTTTGGAGGAAATTTAGACTTTGAAACAGACAGCACAACTGTAGTAAAATTACTATCTGGATTGAGAGATTTAACAACTGCAAAAAGAGCCAGTATTTCAGAAGACATGAGGAAAGTAAACTAGCATCTTTCCTTGCACTGCTGTATGAGGACTAATAAAATAGAAACGACAAAAGCATTTTTGGAACATGATTCCAATGCAGTCTTCATATACAAGTCATTTTATTGACCAATTTAAGTGTGATGCCCAGAAGGCAGAGTGAAAATACCTATTTAAGTGGTCAGTTCTAAGGGTTAGGTGTAAAAGCAAAACGGGGAGAAAAATTTAAGGATCGGGTAGGAGATAGTTGTTTAGGATTTATTCTTTTATCTGCCCAACCTCTACACATAGCAATTTTTTTTATTGTTACTCTCCAATGTCTATAAGAACCTTAGTCATAACACATCAACAATAAAGGCATTTGAAAGGAATTGTGTGTGTGTGTGTGTGTTTTAATATAAATATATAAAATTGGATAGTTGTTATAGACTGAATGTTTCTGTCTCTCCCAAATTCATATGTTGAAAATGTAATCCTCGATGTAATGTTGTTAGGAGGTGGAGCCTTTAGGAGGTAATTAGGTTTAGAAGAGGTTATCAAAGTAGAACCCCCTCATGACAGAATTAGTGCCTTTATAAGGAGAGAAAGTAAGAAATGTCTATCTCCACATGTTCACACTGAAAAAGGGCCAACTAGAAGGTGGCTGTCTGCAATGCAAGAGAGGAGGAAGATTTTTACCATGAGCTGAGCTCTACCATAAACCCACTCTGCCAGCCCCTTGATCTTGGACTCTCCAGCCTCCCTAACTGTGAGAAATAAATGTCTATTGTTTAATTTATGGTATTTTGTTATAGCAGCCCAAGCTGAATAGGACAGTAATACTTGTACATCTTGAGTTTCTCTTCTATATTATTTGTTTGTGTGGAACATAGGAAGTTTTTTAAAGCAATGCAAAAAACACAACTGAGATGCATTAAACCTGAATTCTAGGACTGGTACTTCAATCCATATAATAAATAATATAATATAATATAATATAATATAATATAATATAATATATATACTGTTTACTTACTTTTAACTAGATAAACTTTACAGTAACTTCCTGTTTTAAAAGTGTTTGATTTTAGGGGCCTGGGTGACTCAGTTGGTTAAGCCTCCGACTTCAGGTAATGATTTCATGGTTCGTGTGCTTAAGCCCCACATCGGGCTCTGTGTTGACAGCTCAGAGCCTGGAGCCTGCTTCAGGTTCTGTGTCTCCCCTCTCTCTGCCCCTCCTCCACTTACACTTTCTCTTTCTCAAAAATAAATAAACTTTAACATTTTTTTAAAAGCAGTATTTGATTTTATAGCTACCATTGATGGAAAATGAATTAGATTGTCTTTTTTATAATCCATGGGTACAATAGAATGTGCTGACTTGAGTTTTTAAAAAAAGTATTTCATAAATTTTGAACAGACTGTCTTACCAAATATCACAAACTAGCTACAATTTGTTTCAAGTTTTTCCTTTTATTCTGCCATGTAGATGTATCTACACATGACCAGTGTTAAGGTGAGAGGAGGTTAATAAGTGACATACCTCTGTCTAAACTTCCTAAGTTTGGAACTGATTGAGCTTTATTATTGATACATCTACTTAAGGGAAAAAAGCTTTGATCTACGGTCAAACTGGTTTTCTATTGTGTCCGGCCTACAACAACACATTCATCCCTTTACCCTTCTTATGTTATTTATTGGCATAATACATCTGAGATTAAAGATGAGTTTGCAGACCAAACACATGTATCCTGAATTGTTGCCTCACAGAGGCTTGGGAAGGGGGAGGTGGGCAGCCAAAAAAAAAAAATTGTTTCTGTAGAGTTTGACTAGATTACCCTCCCACCCAAATAAAAAGCATGGTTCAATGGATGTCATCAATAATCAAACAGCTAATATTTTTCCCACATGGGCTAAGGATAAATAAAGGAGTGAGTAAAGAGACTAGTAGTGTTACTCTAGTAGATGTTGCTTAATATGGAGAAGTAAGGAAAAAGTATTTTATATCTCCAGCTCAGCACTAGGGATTTTTACACTGAGATCCAGCTTTAACATGTTCAAAAATATTTTGAAAATGATGTGTTGTTTGTGTGTGCATGAATGAACACATTTTTCTAAAATGTTCAGTAAAATAAATGGTGAGAATGAATTGTTTTCCTCACTGTATCCAAGTGAATGGATCAATATTTTCAGTATTTTGACATGCACTAATAACTAATTCAGTGCATATTTAATTATCTGTCTTTGAAAGTCCTTGTTTGATTTCAGGGAAATGTAAATTCTATATAAGATGCTTGGTCATTCCCTAAATTTGTTAAGTTTGTACTCTGCATCTCACATAAAGAGTGAAACACAGTTATTATGTCATAACCTGATTGGCTTGAACCATCCATAAACATTAATATGAACTCTAGTCTTTACAGTAATTTTAAATAAAACTCATTGTTAATTCTTTTTTTTAAATCTTTTTAATGTTTATTTATTTTTGAGTCAGAGAGAGACAGAGCATGAGCAGGGGAGAGGCAGAGAGAGGGAGACACAGAATCCAAAGCAGGCTCCAGGCTCCAAGCTGTCCGCACAGAGCCCAAAGTGGGGATCGAACTCACCAACTATGATATCGCGACCTGAGCCCAAGTTGGGCGCTCAACCAACTAAGCCACCCAGGCACCCCAAAACTCATTGTTAATTCTTTAAGTAAATAGTGAAGAGCACATTTAAGAGGAGGCATATGTGGGGTTTTGAGACAGAAGTGGAAGTTGTAGTGGGGTCCATGATTACGATGTTGACATAATAACAGTTGTTGCTATTTTCTCTTCCTCCACTGCTTTCTCCTCCAGGTATCATTCTTCTATTCTCCTCCAGTAGGAAGACATACTGAAGGCTTTTTTGTTACATGCTTTCTTTTTCATATTCAAGTCTAACATCATTTACATAATTGCAGATGTAATAAGTCAAGACATTTTGTCCTTTCATTCACCCAACAAACATTAAGTACCTGCTAGGTCACAGGTGATGAGCTAGGTTCAAGCAATACAGAGATGAATCAAAGATTAGAGCCTTAGAAAAATTTGCAGCTCAGTAATCTCTTCTATGTGTGCATATATACAAACTTATTTTACAACTGTTCATAATGTATATATGTATATATATATATGGTATATATAAGTAAAGATATATTTGACATAAATATTATTTTAATGCACTCATTTGTGTTAACAATAAATATTCCAATTTAACATAGTCACTCATTATTTAAATTTAATACAATAGTTATTCAAAGGTTTGTTTTTTAATTGAGTTGTGAGCAATATTTTAATAATAAGACAATGGATACATGGGTGAAACAAATATTTTTTAGTCATTGTCAAGTTTTTGCATAGCAAAAGAAAGAAGACTATGTGTAATTTCCATATAGTCAGTTCAGATGAGATACAATTTGTAGCTATCAGAAAAATTCTAATTCACCCATTGAACTTAGATATGAGGAGGCCAATTGATTTTCCAAAGTTAAAGGATGAATTAGTAGTTGGTCAGGAAATGGAAAAGAAGATACTTTTGATTTGTAAGTCTTTTACTGTAAACACCTGATAACCCAACTATCCTTGGAAAGAATACAGTACCACAATTATTGGCTTTCTACATTTGCAATCAAATAAAGTAATAATAAATACCAATTATATTTCTGTGAGACCCTGCAGAAAGGATTTTCCTGAAGTCGGCTTTCTGCAAATCATAACGTATATAAAATTTCAGAAAGGAGCATTTTTAATTTGGTGAGATATCTGTTTCTTAGGGAAAAAAAGATACATGACAAAAATGTCTGATATATCACAAGTTAGGACAGTTTGGGAAGAATACTGTGACCATATGGAACCATAATGTATTATGTGGATGGAATAGAAATATCAAAAATAAAATGTGACTATCATAACTAGGGCATAAAATTAACAGAATTTTTCCTGATAAAAGAACCTATGAAGTCTAGTGGCTTAAGCAATAACCATTATATTTTATCTCATTTTCTAAGTCCCAATAACATCTACCTGTAGTAATGTTTTGTTATATACAGTATTTCAGTACAGTCTAATAGACCTGATGTTGCAGATGAGAAAAGAGAGATGTCAAACTTGAAACAGCCTGCCTTTTGAGTATGATGGTGAGATAGAAATAATGGTTTACCCTTAGTATGGAATGCTCTCTTTACACATACATAAAAGAAAATTAAATTATTTAGTTTCTATGAACTATTAAACAGTTTTAAATTATACAAATATTCAAAAAACTGCCAGAGAAATAAAGAGAAGTAATTAACCCAGCCCAGGGGAATTGCACTGGGAGAGACTGAAAATTTCTTGATGTGGTGATGATGTTCTGGCATCGTATTTCCTTTCTTTTTTTTTCTTTTTTCTTTTTTTTTTTTTAATTTTTTTTTCAACGTTTATTTATTTTTGGGACAGAGAGAGACAGAGCATGAACGGGGGAGGGGCAGAGAGAGAGGGAGACACAGAATCGGAAACAGGCTCCAGGCTCTGAGCCATCAGCCCAGAGCCTGACGCGGGGCTCGAACTCACGGACCGCGAGATCGTGACCTGGCTGAAGTCGGACGCTTAACCGACTGCGCCACCCAGGCGCCCCTCTTTTTTTTTTTTCTTTTTTATATGTAGAAAGTATCATCCTTATCATCCTTTCATTCCGTAATCCCCACATCCATTTATTTTTTTCTTCACTCTGTCTGGTCTATTTATATTTCTAATTATCCATTTTCTACCACCATCAACTAAAGTTTTGTGACAATTTAGGTAAGAATATAAGGAAGTGAAATAACTAGATCCAAGTCTTAATTTTTTTGCTTAACATCTTAAGAATCCAATTTGGTAATAATTTCGCAAATGATCCTGGTTTTCAGTGTGCCTTCAAGAATTTTTATACATGAACACACTCTCTCTCTCTCTCTCTCTCTCTGTATCTCTCCCTCTCTCACACACACACACAAGAGGAGAAGAGAAGAGAGGAGTGCACGTAACAAAGCAATTTTCAAACCATACTTTGAGTGGGCCTAGAACTCCATCAGGTGCTGTGTGTGTGTGTGTGTGTGTGTGTGTGTGTGTGTGTTTGAGGTGGGGGCCATAGGTACACAGAAATAATATGGACCTACCTGATTCAAGTCAGAAAATCCTTTAAGCCTAGTATTCATTTGGGTAAATTTTTGGTTTGAATAAAATGTTCTGAATTTTGAAGAAACTTTGAAAATTAATTCCCTAGGATTTGCATTTGTTTATTAGTTGTGAAGTTCAATCCATAAAGTATGTATAAGTGAAAATAGTGGCATAAAATTATACAATTGCTTTTACTGTTTTTTTTTCAGATGTTTGCTGAGTTCTTGTGTTCATGATACTCTGCTAAAATTATAGCGAGGAAGACTAAGATTATCAGAAAGACTAATAATCTAAGGGAAGTAAGACTTTAGCATAGTGATTAGGAAGAAAAGAAAGGGTAGCTTTGGGACATATGAAAGGGAAAAATGATAAAGGCACAGAAATAGGAAATTTTGCAGCGTGTTCAGGAAATCTTTTCAAAGGAATTCAGTTTGCCTGACACATATGTTATATAAAGATATAATGGGCAGCAGATACATTTGGAAAGGTGACTTAAGAAAAGTTCACAGAAGGCCTGGAAGACCAGACTTGGAGGCATTTGGATTGTATCGTACAGTAGGTGAATTGGCTATTAGCGTCTGCAATAACCTCTTTCTGTTGTGCCTTCTTTCCTGTACAGTAGAGGCTAGAAATTTAAATGTCATGTTTCGTGTTCTACCATGTAGCTAGGATTCGGATTGAGGCTTAGGTTATACCAATTTGATGCGTTTGTGTGAAATTTGGAACTGCAGAATTTTTCTGCAGCAACGTCCAACTTTCCAGTCTCTGGCTTCATGGATGCCAAGCAGCAGACGGTTTGCCAAGCAAAGGATAGTAGCAGCTGTCATTGCTAGAGAGGTGTGTTCCACGGATGGCTCTCCATTTTCCACCATCCTGACTGGGCAGACTCCTCTAGGAACTCAGTTTGCCAATGTTGCTGTGGAGGTCATCTCTCAAGGCCCTGCCTCTGAGCTGTTCGACCATATTGTAAGCCCCCAATTCCTCTCATTAAATCAATGTTAGATTAAAAGGTTTCTGTGTCATGCATCTGAATCCTAAACAAAACATTGAATTTGATAGACAATGCAGAGGTCCTGAGTGTTTGAAGAATTTTGAATGAATTATGTAATATTCTAGATTGACCTACTCAGTCATATTTCACTTAAGCCAATTAAGGCTAAATTACATTTCATGCTGGATGGTGTACAAAGGCAGCTCAAAGTGTTTTGTGAGATGCGGAAATACCCTTGTGGGAATTAAAAATAGATGAAGTTCCAAATGCAATGTATGCCTTAGCGGCAGTGCTGATTTCAGATTTGAAATCTTAGGGGCATTGTCTTCCTATTATAGCAGTCCATAATGGAGTAAAAGAGAATATATAAGTTCTTCTGACCATAAGAACAGAGTAATTAGGAAAGTAGCTTGATTTCTCCATTCTTGCATGGAAAATTATAAATAATTTCTTTTTGCTTGAGGAATAGAAAGAAGATATAGAGCAAACCTGTGCTTGTAAACCATTCTGGCTTTTAATTGCCTCGCCTGGCTGATAAATCATAATAATGATAGGAAGAAACAATAAAGAATGGGTTGGAATTACTTTTTAACTGTTTAGAACCATTCAGAACAACATTATGTCTGAAAGAAAACATCAATTGTGGATTATGAATTTTAACTATTGTTAGTCCTCAAGCAGAAATGGTAATAAAGTAGTGAAGTTTCCAAACCATCAGCATTTCAGCAATTTAGTCCCTACACCCGGTGAAAAGAAGTTGACTACATTCTGTAACAATTGTGTCAAAGGCTATCAGATTATTGATGGCAGTGAAACCATGAACAGAGAAATGGAGAAAGCCAGCCTTCACTTTAAAGGGATTTGCTTTGATTTTCCCCAACCAGCTTGTTTTATGTCAATAAAATCAGGTCGTGGCTATGGAGCTGGTGGGACACAGCCTCCAGCTTCCTGGACATTGACTAAAGCTGGCTTATGTCCTCAATCTCCTACTGTGATTTGGATCAGAGGACATTCTCCGGCACAGCCAAGTGTTTCTCGGTTAGAAGATTCCTATCACTCTCCCTCCTCCCCAGGGTTCCTAAGGCCTAGAACACTCACCCAGTGTTTTGGTTCTCACATATGGAAAAGAGAAATCCTCAAACAATGAAAGGTTTGCAGGGACATTAAATTATAACATTGTGTTTTCAGAGTAGGCATGGAGCCCAGGAGACTAAGACTCATTATGTTTCTATGTTCTTATTAAAAAGTTATATTCTCTAGACTAGAAAATGGAAACCTTCAAACTTCAGGATAAATGTTTTATAAAAACTAAAATTACTTCAGACTAAGAAGAAGGAAGTTGCATGTTAGTAATGATGGTTTTCACTACTGAAAATCACCAGCCAAGATAAAACGAACTGGATAAGGAAAAAAGTAATATAAACTCCCTGAAAGTATAAGAAATTCACTCTTTGGTTGAAGGATATTTTTAGTATTTAGAAAATAAATGAACGTCATCATCTTTGTATTAAAAAGAAAAATATAAAAATACCTATTTGTTAGCACATACCTTTTGTAACAAGAGCACACAATCATTAAAATGGCTGTGTGTGTGTGTGTGTGTGTGTGTGTGTGTGAGTGCATGTCCATTTCAGGCCTGCTTCTAGGACTAAAAATTTAACTACCATTTTAGTTGTGGAAAAATCCATTTATTCCTCGGTATTTGAAACAGAACTACCAGTAAGACTGTCTTTTCTGGTGCAATTAACTTTTTCAATTTAAGTTTTGAAAGTATCTAGAGGAATTAGCTACCATAAATCTGAACCTTTTTTTCATAATTTATGAAATTTAGCCTGGAATATTTAAATGACTTCTTTAAGGACACAAGTAACTGGTAACAAGCACAAGATTCTTTTTTTTAAAAAAAAAATTTAAACATTTATTCATTTTTGAGAGACACAGAGAGACAGAGTGTGAGCAGGAGAGGGGCAGAGAGAGAGGGAGACACAGAATCCAAAGCAGGCTCCAGTCTCCAAGGTGTCAGCACAGAGCCCAACACGGGGCTTGAACTCATGAACTGGGAGATCAGGACCTGAACCGAAGTTGGACACTTAACCAACTGAGCCACTCAAGCACCCCAACAAGCACAAGATTCTTGAGACCTTGTAAATGCATGAGCTTTGGGTCCAACAGTAGTGTTGGCATTTGTTAGCTATGTGTCTTCACGCATGCTCTGTAATCTATGTCCAATTTTTTTAATCTGCATTTTTATTCCTTTATTTCTTTTTTTTTTCAGAGATTATTACATAAGGGTGCAGAAGACATCTATTATTAATTGAACAATTTGACCCATTTATTTCCAAAATAAATACTTTTCTAGAATATGAAATTTAATATGGCCATCTTATAATTATTTGATATTGTTTGTTTTAAATAGTGAAAAGTATCTTCTTACAGTTATTACAGCCATTTATAATAAGAAGGGGAATAATTAGATGAGTCTAGCTATGTAAACACAAAGAAAACCAACCAATATTAATGTCAGTATATTTCTATTATTTCTAGTCTATCACATTCTTTTGTTGGTTTGATTTCTTTATCAATACATAATGCCCATCATTGTCTCTTATTAGTCTTTGCTTTAAAGTCTGTTTTGTTTGATATGAGTATAGCTACTCCAGTTTTCTTTTGGTTGCCATTTGCATGAAATACCTTTTTATCACTCCGTAATAATTTTTAATCAAATTTTTAAAAATTATTTTTAATTACACAGCTAATACACCTTCATCATAAAATTTAAACAATAAAAAATAAAAGTGTTTCTAGATGCAGTGATAAAGTTTCTATAGTTTTACCATTAATTTTAATGTCTGCTGAGTTTTCTGTTCTATACCATTCATCAAGTTAGAGAATTTTCCTTAACTTGTGCTTAGTGAATGTTTTTATTTTTTTAATATAAGTTTAATTTTAAATTTAATTTTGAAGTGTTTTCTCCTCTTATTGGTAAGTCATTAGTTACATTAACAAACTTGATGTTCAACAATTGTTGCTTTTCTGAGACAAAATCCATAGATCAAAGCATATTCTTCCTTAAATATACATTGTACAACTAGATCCAATATCTGATATTTTATCACATTTCAATTATAATATTCTGTGTTCCCAAGTAAGATCAGCCGTTAGCTTGTGATTTTGTGTCAGTCTTGGAACTACAGCTATGCTGCCCTTAATGAACTGGGGACTTTCCCACCATCTCTTGTTCTGAAGAGGAACATATACAGGATTGATTGATAGCCCTCATTGTTAAACACTGGAGGCTGATGCTTCTATTTTAAAGTAATGTAGCAACAACATTTTCACTTCTATGTTATTGTTCAGGGTTTTCACTTTTTCTCAAGTCAATTTTTATGGATAATTTAATGAGATTATCCTTTTCATTTAGACTCTCAAATTTGCTGACATAAAGTTCCATATCATAGCTGTCATAATGAAAAATAAATCAAGACAATCCTCTCTCTATAATTATTTATGTTCTTCTTATTCTTAATGATGTATATGTGTGTTTGCTCTGTTTTTTTGATCAGTGTTGCAAGGTAATTTACTTATACGTATTAAGACCAGTTTTCAGGTATATCATTAACTCTAATAAATTATTCTTTTTTATTAATTTATGCCTTCGTTTTTCTTTACTGCTTTTACTTTACTCTCTTTATGTTAATTTTATCAATATTCTTCTAGTTTATTGAGTGAGAAATTGTTCAATTATTTTAAATCTTTCTCGTATTCTCACATACGTATTGATGCTTTACCTTTCCTACTGAAGACCTTTTTTTCCCCTGTGTCTATTGGTTTTGACATGTTGAGCAGTTATAAAACTTATTTCAAATATTTTAACTTCCATTTTTATTTAGTCAATGCCAAAGTTATTTAGAAGACAGTTTTTAACTTTTCAAATGATGAAGTTTTTTCATTTTAATTTCCTCTTATTGTGTTTCTCATTTTATTACTTGTGGAAAGTGACTTCTGTGAGTTTTGCATTTTAGAAATTTATAGAAATCTTCTTGAGGCTTACCAAGTGGCTACGTTTAGTGAACACCTCATGCCTGTTTGAAAGGAATATGTGCTTAACTTTTATGAAATATAGGTATATGGTATATAGAAATAGGTATCTGTGTATCTCCGATTCCTCTGACTCTATTTCTGTACATGCGTCGTAACTTATTTTTTATCTCATAATCTATTGATTTTTTAAAACAATACTTAAAAATTTTCCACTATCATTTTCAATTTTAAAATGTCTCCTCAAGGGATGATTCAGTGGCTCAGTCGGTTAAGCAGTCCCACTCTTGATTTCAGCTCAGGTCATGATCTCGTGATTGGCAGGATTGAGCCCTGTGCTGACAGTGCAGAGCCTGCTTAGGATGCTCTCTCTCCTCTCTGTCTGCCCCTCCTCTGCTCACTCTCTCTTTCTCTCTCTCTCAAAATAAATAAATACATTTAAAAAAGTAAATAGACAAACAAAAACACAAATAAAATGTCTCCTCTTGTTTCTTTCAGTTTTTGCTTTAAATTTTTGATGCCTGGGGTATATTTTTTAATCCCATGTGGTTTGTCTTGCTCTATTGATGTATTCTACTCATGTAGTTAGCTGTTAGGTGTTGTTAGATATCTTGCCTTGTGAAGAGCACATAGCTGGATATTTTTCCAAACAATATGAGAATCTTTCTCTTGCATAGTAAAACTTCACATGTGTACATAAGCTTACTCACATTATTTTGATTGCAAATACATTTGCACTTATTTCTACAATTTTATTTTATTTTACTTTACCATGGTGTCTTTTGGTTTCTGCTGTAGACTGCATGTTTGTATTCCCACAAAATTCATGTGTTGAAACCTAGTACCCAGTGTCATGGTGTAGAGAGCAAAGTGCAGTCACTCATGTCAAGAAAAGGCCTGTGTTGGGGCGCCTGGGTGGCGCAGTCGGTTAAGCATCCGACTTCAGCCAGGTCACGATCTCGCGGTCCGTGAGTTCGAGCCCCGCGTCGGGCTCTGTGCTGACAGCTCAGAGCCTGGAGCCTGTTTCTGATTCTGTGTCTCCCTCTCTCTCTGCCCCTCCCCCGTTCATGCTCTGTCTCTCTCTGTCCCAAAAATAAATAAACGTTGAAAAAAAAAAAAGTCTTACTGAAATAATACTGAAATCTGGATTCATTGGATTCTATTTAAAAAAAAAAAAAAAAAAGAAAAAAAGAAAAGGCCTGTGTCAAGTAGGGGCCTGTCAGGCAATATCACAAGCAGTAAGTGGTACCACAGCTACCATCTATTGCCAAGACGAGCACCAGTCGATGACACCCCAGAGCTGAGAACAAGCAGAAGCAGAGGAGGTCTGCAGGGTCCCAAGCCTGATTAAATCCATTTAAAAAGGATGGGTTTTTGCAGCAAACTATCAGATTCTTGACACTGACCTTTCTGTGTCTGAGCACTTAGAAAAGGCAGCTGCTACCCAAGGCTCTGCCCAATTGATCTCTGAACAGAATCGAGACCTTTCACTGCATTAACATAATAAACAGTAAATGCTGAGAACTGACCGGACAGGACAGAAGTCTTATCTCAACTGTGTGCCACAAACTGACCTCGTGTTTGGCTCCTTCACTTTCTATGCCCTGTGTACCTTGTTTGCTGTGTACTTGTCTTGTGTTCTGCTTTGTGTGCCCTGTAAGAAGCCAAGTTAATCACGTGGTGAAATGTCATTGAGGTTGGAATTCTGAATCTGCTTTATAATTACGTTAACCTTGCTTTAAGACTGAATAAAGCTGGTATTGTGGAAAGATATTTCTCGTGTGTGCACCTTCATAGTAATCTCATAACTCATGGTATTTGGAGGTGGGACGTCTGGGAGGTGATTAGGTCATGAGGGTGCAGCCTTCAAGAATGGGTTAGTGTGCTCATAAAAGAGGCAGAGAGTTCTTTTACCCATTCCACCAAAGGACGACATAGCAAAAAAGACAATCAACTAAGAACTAACAACTCAGTCCTCACCAGACTCCAAATCTACCAATGCCTTCATCTTGAACTTCCCAGGTATCCAGTCTATTTATGGTTCTGATATAGCAGCCCAAATAGACTAAGCCAGTTTCCATTCTTCCCTTCCTTTCTCCCTTCCTCCCT